GGCTTGTAGTACATTTTATGAACGATTAATTTGAAGATATTTTTCAGTCCCTCCCCCTTAGAAAAATAATCATATTACTAGTAATAATACTTGCTGTATATATGTTAAATTTAATTAGAATAGTTTCTTCGCGTCTCTCATTTTGTAAAATGCTTAGATACACAGCTTGATAAAAACTGTGACGAAATTTTAATGAAGTTTATAGAATTTTTTACTTCAGTCAGTAAATTTTCTTTTACTATCATAATTAGCTATTCTTTTTTATGAATCAGATGTCAGTTTTGATTTTGATATTTTTATCGTTTTCTGTTAAAAATTTCCATATCTTTGTTATTTGAGAAGTATGTTTCAAATTGATTTCAAAAGATTTTAAAATAGGATTCGGATTTGAATTCAGTTAAGTATTCTGAATACTTGGTTATGCTTAACTATATTATTCATAATTAAAAATAAAGAGTAAGAAATATTGAAACTAATTCATTCTACCTTTAATTTTGTCCGGCTTGAACTAACTCAATGCAGTATTTAATAAAATGCCAATAAATGCAGTATTTTAACTAAAAATATAATGCAGATCATATTTTATTTTAAAAGTTAATGTCCTCTTTTTCTTTCCAAAGGAGGAAAATTCTATCCCATTCAATAGCGTAAAAGATGAATTTCTTATGTTCAGAAAATTGTTGTCACAGTTATAATGTTATGATATTTTCTTGCTGTTAAGTTTCAAATTGGTACATGTAGCTTTTTTGAAAAAAAAAAACAATGTTTTGCATGTGTTATGTTTTACTGGAAAAGATCCCCTAATTTTTATTTTCATTTATTGAACTGATCATTTACTAATAGAGTCTAATTACATTTGTTGCAAAACTACCAGTTTAATATCAGAATACCTAATGTATGCTTGCTGCGGTATTTAAAAAATATCATTAACTATATAAAACTAAATGCTGTTTTCTCTTACAGTAATTATTTACTTTTTTATTCTCAATTTAATATCTCTTTTTCAACGATTAAAGACTCGCAGTGAAAAAAAACAAGTTCAATTAAATAAAAAAAAATTAATAAAAGTGTAACAGTAATTATATAAATAATCCCGAAACAATCTTAGCAGTATTGTTTTATATCGTTACACACACTATAGGAAGCTACAGTGATTTTTTAAATTTGTGTTCAATTTGTAAGCGCCTTGTTAAGAGAATACTTCAGTAGTACAGCGGCTTACCCAAGGTAGGATCATGGTATTTGCCAAGTCATGGTGAGCTGTCTAATAAAAGGAAAAGAAGAGTCCTGAATACATTGGCTGTCTCTGGAATTTGGAAAATAACGGCAGCTGTCATCACTTTTTTTTTGTTTGGTACATAAAACATCTCCAGTACTAATACCATAATATAATAGTGCTTACTCCGCTAACTGCAAAAGAGGGCGAAGAAATGCCAGTCACGAAAATGCCAACTACGACATATTTGTAACAAGAAGAGTACAAGCAGCAGAAATCCAGAGGTAAGCGAAAAAACAATGAAAAGACCAAGAGATTCACTAATTCCCGCTGTTTCAACCAATGAAAATATCAAGAATCAAGGAATTTTAATTTATGGAGTACTTAGCACGAAGCCTTTATCTCCTCATTATCAAAGATTAAAAATTTATCATCATCAAAAGAGGGGTTCATCTAATAGGATAAAAACTTGAAAGGCCAAAACAAAAAGCTTTAAACGAATAAAGTCTTCACATGAGAAAAAAGGTAAAACACTTAAGAAGGACTTTTTAATTAAATTTTGCATCAATACATTAAGGGCCAGAATGAATTTAGAAAGGCACTCGTATCATAATTTAGAATAGCGAAATAAAAACTTGGAATTCCTCGATTCTTGATAAAATTAAAAGTACAGACAATGCAGAAGATAAAAAACAAAAAATGAAAATATTCCACAGCGAGAACAACCAATCGTAATATTTCTTTCACTTTACAGACAAACTGAACTGAAATGAGTTATCTGATGAAATAGCTTGGTCATGTTATAACAAACCTGTTAGCAAAAATATTGTAGCCAGATGAAATCCCTTATCTGTTTCTAGATGGCTGTAATAATTCCAAGGACATAAATTTAATGTGACCTCATCAGATATTCACCCCTTTTTGAGGGGAGGGGAGGAGGAGGAAAATTAATTATGTGAATAATAAAAATTCTGGTATCATTGTGCCAGCCTCATATAAAATCATGACAATCACTATGGAGCTAACAGTCTGAAATACATATTACATAGATTACATTTTAAATGGGAAGATTTTTTTCATTTAGGTATCACCAAAACCATGCCATCTACACAAAAACAAAATTTTTAACATTAAAACATAGAACCACTTATTTAAATATTCCATAATTCAATGCAAGCAACTTTTTATGCAAAATACATATAAGTGCATGATATAAATATGGTACGTAAAATTTTCGAATATACCGTATAGCAAGTACACAGTACAGAATTGTAAATGAAGTATTTCTGTGATAAAACAAAATGCTATTTTTGTACAGCCCCAGTTACACTTAATTAGACTTAAATCACTTACAGGATGAAACAATACAAACCATTATAATCACATCATACCGGGAAATTTTGAAATCAAACACTTATGCACTTGTATATATTAGGCACAATGTCGTTGAATCTCAAAATAATATTTAAGGATGATCAAGCCTTAAACTCTAATAATTATGCTCACACAATCAAGAAATCAACAAAAGACTCACATAACAATAAATTTCGAACAATATTAATTTAACATATTGCATAACTTGTAATAATGTTCTATGATAGTACAAGAAATGAGTGAAAAAAAAAGAATTAAGTGTACTGAAGTGTGGGAGAATCTTTTAGGAGCCAAACGAAGGCAACTGATGTGAATTCTAAATGGCTGAGAAAAAATCATTGTCAAGTGCACAAATAACATAATTTACATCATTTACTTTAGTAGAAAAAGTTTTCGAAAACCTATGCTGGAATGTAACCTTAGATTTAGACACTACAGACAAGTATCTTCATCTCTGACAATTTCCTTAATTTAAAAAAAAAAAATCCATCTATTCATAGCTCAAAAATTCAGAAAAGATAACGTAGAAATCTGAAAAAATAACAATAAATAAGTGAAGAATAAATTACAACATGAAAAAAAAAAGCAATGAATGTGTAGCACAGTAGTACCAAGTGCAGTTTGACGCGCAATACTGAAATTATAAAAATGTCAAAACAAAACTAACCTTTATAGTCATATCTTTATCAATTATAACCCTTTTTTCACACATGTAATTAGTTGTCCATCGAGCACATACAATGAATTCAACTACAGAATTTACAGTCCACAAACAATGCGGTTTGGAAATGTTCTGCAGACTTTCAGTCAACAGTGGAAATGTAAAATCCTTTTTAGTAGCAGCAACATTATCTGCAAATGGAGCGTTCTTTTTATTCACAGGCACATTTCTTGCAGTAGGTGCTTTTCTTTTACGTGACTTTTTGGATAAATATGAAGGCAGATTTGGAAAGATTGAGGATATTGCTCCTTCTTGGAGTCTAGGGCGGCCCCATTTCCAACTTGAATATTGTGCCATCGGACAACTTGGTCTCATAAAATCGTTTTCTGCAAAATGATGCTCACATACAACATCCTTCTCTGAAAGTATTCGGTCTGCCCGAGGAATTGCATGTCTCCATTTGTCTAGCAGCACAGGATCCTGTAAAATATATTTCAACAAGTATGTCAATTTTTCATTACACTTATCTGCTGTTATGTTTTCACTCAACCATGAAAGTAAAGTTAATTTTAAGCAGCACAGTGTTAATTTCCATTTATTATAAAAACCTACTTCAAACGGAAAAGAAGGGGAAATGAGTTAATCTTCTTTTCTGTAAATGAAATAAACAGGCAAATATTCCATCATTCTTGCATAATTTCAGAAATTTATTTAACTTTAAAATCTCAGGATTGCCTGCTTTCATGCACGAAATGCAAATGCACTTAGGTTATGTAAAATAATTAACTAATTTCTAATTTAAAGTTTTGTGAAATATTTAATTTCCAATCTATTATTTTTTAAATACCCTCTTAATTACTAACAATCCAGACGTTCTATAAAGTTATATAAATTCGTCTGACTGTGATCAGGCATGATATAAATGTTGCTCACCTTTGGAGCTCTAAATATACTTGGATTCTTGATTCCCAAGCTTTTATTCTTCTGCCTAACAGATGTATAACCACTGTTGCATGCAGGGACGAAGCAGGTTGCATTACAAGAATTACTCATGATGGAAATTGATATCAAATCAATATTTTCTGTATTGTCAAATATCTTATTATTCTATGTCTTATATATTCTATGTCAAATACTACGAAAAGACGAAAAACTAACGATTGCAGAGCCCTCTATAAATAATGCGGTTGTCTCTATGCCCTATGCATACGCCTCTATGCCCTTTACCCTGCCGTCTGAACGCAGCCTAAAGGAATAAATCAGGTAATCTTCATATTAACTAGGTAATATGCAGATGAGAAGCTTTCACACTTTGAAGGTAACATATCAGTAGACAGATAAAAGATTTTATGTTATAGCAAATTTTTTTAATAATGAATGTTGCTACAGAAATAGATGATTTTGTTTGCATAATACCAGTACAACGAATTTCCATTTTTACTTTATAATCAGATGATTTCATACATATCTATATTTTGTAAAATTTTATATTGATTATTAAATATTACTTCGAGATTATTGTGTGTAAAGTGCATTAATATTACATTTATGATCTTTATGAAACATTTTTTATTAAATAAGTTTCAGAATATTTCGCTTTTGTCTTTTTTTTTTTTTTTTTTTTTTTTTTTTTTTTTTCAATAAAAAGGCGTCTTTACTGAATAAAACGTGTATTTTGTTTGCTCATTATTAATTTTCATTAACATTAACTCAGAATGTCGAAAGCTCATTACTGATATTTATTTCTAGAATGGTTTGCCATCCCGAGATAGTCCTTACGTGTTTAACGGGGACTTCGTGGATAGGGGATCTCAATCCGTGGAGGTTCTAATCTTATTGCTGGCTTGCTTCATAGTATGGCCAGACGCTGTCTTCCTGAACAGAGGTAACCATGAAGATTTCAGTATGAATATCCGGTAAGTGTTATAAATATTTTTGTAGCAAACATTTTCACAACAAATCACCAAAGTAGAGAGTATAATAATTTCTCTTACCTTTTATTCAACGGATAATATATACTTAGTAAAAGGATTAAAACCCTCTGAGCGGCATGACCAGCTTTATCCGGTCATGAGATTTTTTGTCACTTGATACATATTAGCTTATAACTTAAGATATTTCTCTTTCTTACTTTCTTTAATAGTGTAAATGTAATCTTAATGAATGTACGTTTATGAAAATAAAGGCTAAAGTAAATAATTGTGTAAATTTAGCTAATAAAATGCTGCACAAATACAGGTCTTCATGACAAATCCAAAAACCCGTGCCGCTCAGAGGGTTAATCCGAAAGAGGTTGTAGACGAAATTTGCAAAGTTACAAACACATTTATTTTTTATCTAATAATAGAATAAGATTCATTAGGTTTCCTAATGGAGGTTCGAATCCCGCGAACGGGCTGGCTGCATGGGTGTTTTCGTGGTTTTCCCCACGTGTAACGTGTATACGAGCCAGTTTCCCTTAGAAAGTCCTCCACGAAAGCATCCCACCCCTTAGGCAGATAGCCCTAGTGCGCTTTGCCGTAATTAAATGCACCACACCACTACTCAGTGGATTGACGGCGCATGCTATATCTGGTCGGCTGATTGTTGCAATGTATAATGAGGCCCCTGCTGCTTGTGTATATTCTGTAATATCCTCTAGAAGATTAATTCAGTTTTTAGTATGCATTAGTTTGTTTCCATTGGCGTATATGTTGGTTTTTCGTTTTGAAGTCCAAATTTTTGGACTACTTCTTCGATTTTAGCTACGGCTGTTGTTGCACAGCCCTTTTTCCACGTAGCTTTGCTGGTTCTAAGATGCATTGCTTAGCTACTGCGGTTCATCTTTTGTCTGAAAAATTGTGATATGCCAAGGAAATACTAAGGGATGCATATCGCGCACACATAGATGTGTAAACGAGAATATGTGTTCAAATCAGGGGCCACGTCTGAAAGCTTTTCTTCTCCGTTGCTCTATCGGTTTATCTACGCATCTGTTTTTCTAATCCACAAGTCATCTATAAAATTATTATATACATACATACATATATAACAAGCAACCTAAACCAAAACTCTAGAACTTAAACCTTTCTCTTAACAAGCAACCTAAACTAAAACATTCTCTTGGTGAGCATCCATATTGGATAAATGCACACTTTAGCTTCTGTCTCTCTTCCCTTTAAGACGCTACTTCTCTCTGCTCTGCAACAGAATAAAAAATGTAGGTATTCTTGAAAATGCACGATTAGAATTCCGTGTAAATTGTGGCTGCAAGTTTCAATTGAAATAAAGATGAATATTTAATCCGCCTCGACTGCCGAGTTTGCTGTTTAGTACGGATTCAGCATTCTACGTTCTAAGCCATCAACATTGCTACTTCTTTTTCATCTCACACACACATACGTATACAGCTTTATCTTAAAGTAATAACGCATATAAAATATATATTTTTAACGTAATGAATAACACACGATGGACCCAATAAGAGTTATTGAGCAGAGTAACTAATTAGTAGAAAATAATGCAGCTATGTATAACATTTTTAGTGTATAGTATACTAAATTCTCGTAACTATTGGGTCATACAAAAAGTATCCGCGTTTTTTTGCCACTAGATGGCGTTGATGCCTATATATCTGGCAACACTCACTCGATTGTCTCAAACGAACATGTGCTTAAAAGGTGACATTCAGCTTTCATTGTTTGTGAAAATAGTTTTCTAATTCGAAGCTTGTGTGAAAAGTTATATTTATTTGAAAACGAGTGAAATATCTGAAGAAATACGTTATGTGATGCTTTTTTACTATAAAAAAGGTAAAAAGGCTGCAAAAACATGCCGAAAAATTTGTGAAGTGTATGGTGAGAATGCTGTGAGTGAACGAAGGACGCAGGAGGGGTTTGCTCGATTCCACTCCGGAAATTTCGATTTCAAAGATTCACCTCGCTCTGGTCGGGCAGTCACTGACAAAGCCGATGAAATTTTGCTACTGGCGGAGCAAGACCAGCAAGCAAGCTGTCAGGAAATAGCAGAGGTACTAAACATCAACCAAATGTCAGTTTGGAATCATTTGAAAAGAGCAGATTACAAAAAGAAACTCAATGTTTGGGTGCCACATAAATTGCAACCTGGTGCAACCTGGGGAAGTCATCAATTCGGCCCCGTACTGTGCACGACTCGACCGTTTGAACGAAGCAATACAGAAAGAGAGACCAGAATTGACCAAAGAGAGGGAGTTGTGTTCCATCATGATAATGCGCGGTCACACACATCTTTGATGACTCGGAACAAATTGACGGAACTTGATTGGGAAGTTTTGACGCATTCACCATATAGCCCGAACCTTGCACCGTCTGACTACCATTTTCTTCGGTCACCGCAAAACTCTCTTGATGGTAAAAAATTGGAAGACCAAAGCGCCGCTGAAAATCACTCGCCCAAGTTTTTCAACGATAAATCACAGAAGTTCTATAACGATGGAATTATGAAGGCTACTCGAAAAACGGCAAAAGATCATAACTAATAATCGTCAATATGTACTTGATTAAGACTAATTTTCAATAAAGAAAATTTTTGTTCAAAAATGTACCAAAAAAGCGCGGAGACATTTTATATGACCCAATATTTCCGAGAAATCTTTCCGGGTTCAAGATTAATGCAGATATTAAAAACTGCAATATCTTCACTATAATCTATCACTCTGCAGATGGATTAGATATGATCGAATTATAGCAAATTCCTAGAACTGCTTGCAAATAGCATAATTGCCTTTATGAAGGATTTCTTTGAAATGGCTCATATTTATCTGTTTATATGCAGAAACCTATACAGTCTCCTACAGTCAACGTATCTAATTGCATGAAACAGAACCACTCGGAAAAACTACAAACGTATGCATTTTTCCTACTTGGAGATGTACTGAACATTCATTTTACATCTTAACATATTCGTTATTACTTTTTGTTTACATTTAAGATAAATTGTTTATACCCATATCATCTACATCTTTTACATAATGTAACTTTTTCACTTAATTTTGAACGGAAATACATCACAAAATTTTCTGGGTATGAAGAGTGTTTTTACAGTTTTGACATGCGCTGAAAAAACGCATAGCTAGGCCAAAATCTGAAATTAACATTTTGCAGTTGCAGAAGAAATTAAAGATTTTCACGCATTGATAAAACAATATCTTTATCTAACATGGCTGAAAGTTTGTAGCATATAAATATTCACAGTGTTTATACAAATTGCTAACAAACTGATTGACAGGCACTGAAAAAACGCATATCTATGTTAAAATCTGGAATTAACGTTTTGCAGTTGCAGAAGAAATTAAAGATTTTAACGTATTTCATAAAATAATATCTTTCGCTAATACATATGAAAGTTTGTAACACGCAAATATTCCCAGTGTGTATAAAAATTGCTTCACCGTGTGCCAAAATAAATTCTAGTATTTGGGGATATATAAGTATATAATGTAATATTATTTGCTGTGTAAACGAGCAGCAGCTTCTTATGCTTTGTTTAGGTTAGCCTTGGTGAATTTTGCACGAACTTATTAAAAATACATAAGGCATTTTATACGTGCCTGCTTATTTTATGCTACTATATAAATCAGTAGTATTAATTTGCGACGTCTACCTGTTCAACGCTAGGCGTCATCACATTTCTATTCCCCAGACACCAACACAGTATTCGACTGCAATTAAGCACTTTCTTCATTAGCATTCGAGAACCTTTTTTTGGTGCTTCCAAGGCCTTCTTTTTCTATCATAAGCGTAATCTAAGCACGCAAACTTTCAACCGTTTAAAAACGGGACGAGGCAGTGACTATAATTTTAGAATGAAGCGTCCGTGCACCCGATTTTCAGAATATTATGTCTGTGCTTACAAGTTGAGAGGAGAGTAACTATTTATGCAAAAAGAAAAAGGCGAATTTCTACTTGTATAATTAGCGAGAATTTACGTAATGTGTCGTGACTGTATTTCGTTGTTTAAACCAGCGGTGCAATTTATAGTACAATTCTATTTACAGACATTTACAGCCTTATCAGGCAATTCAGTATCATGTCTCGCGAGTTAAATATGCAAATGGGGATAAGGCATTTGAAAAGCGTTAATTAAAAAAGCGGAAATACGGGTAAATTAGTCATCTTTAAACGAATATATACATTTTTAATGCTCTTTCGAATAAATTTTGCGTAGGTCATTAGCACCTTGTTTTTAATAAACACTAATGAAGTTTTAATAGTTAGAATGTTGACAATGATCAAATCAATGTTTATGGCAGGCAAATTTAAAGCGTAATTGTTTTACTAGCATATAAATTTGTATATCTAACTACTTATGCGCATTCTTCATGCTTCACATACAACACAACAGTATCGTTGTATGTTAAATAATCCTGAAAATTTTAATCAAAATTCTAGACGGCGTGAAGAGCAACAATTTAATGAACATACTTTATTTGTAACGTTGGAAGAACATGATTAAATTCATATTTCCTTATCGTCATTTTCATTTTAGATTTTAAGATGTTTATGTGAGTGGATATCTCCAATAAGAGATACTGCTCACCATATAATTTAATTATTATAATACTGTTATTATTGAAACATAAATGTCTTCAAATTTCAAAAAAAGTTTTGAAGAATTCTAATTTTAAGTAAGGAAATGTAGAACTTACTTGCCGATGATTACTGGAAAAAGTGCAAGAAATAATGTTCAGTACCGTTAACTTATTTGATGTTCTACGTTTTCTTATTTAAATTTTTTCTCATAACTTGATTACTGGAGAGATAAGAACATTGGCCGCTCCTATAAAAACTGCATATCCCAGTAAAAGATGAAGGTTTGTAAAGAATTCGCAAGAAACGGCTTTGAACCGTAAAATAAAAACGAACTAGCTCTCAAAGCATATAAATATTCACAGTGT